TCAGTACTCTGAAACTAGACCAGCAGAAACCACATAAAAGAACAAGCTTTAGACCTGCTCCCTGATGCTCACAGAAACCCCACGTCTCGCGGACACCCGACTGTCTGGTGACATCCTGACGTTCCTGCCCGAGACTCTGCCCCCGACTGCAGAGACTCTCTTGCCGATTATCTATCGATCCTGAGACGCTGAGCCACAACAGAATGTGATCCTGACCAAGCAGTGCGAGGACCCGAACCTGAACAGCGTCAACCAGGGCCGGGAGAGTGCACTGGATCACGGCGGAGCAGCTGAGCTTTTCCATGGAGGACTTTGGACTTGGACATTGGACCCAGGCCCGGAGGTACTCCCCAAGAGCAGGGATCTCTGGAAGCTTTGGCAACCTGGTGACACCTGGTGCACTAGGCCCACTGGTCCAGACCTACTCTGACTCTCCACCTAAAGTGTGCTGTTTGTTCTTTGCAACTCTGTATTGCTTGAATTGTTCGTTCAATATAAATTGTTGATTGCAACACAATACACGTGTGGAATCTCTTCTGTCCGTTGCACCTGTCCCAGCTCTCCTGAGTAGTATTATTAACTTATGAGGAATGATTCTCTGAATCATTCCTCAGGACAGACCCACATGGTGAATGGAAAGAACCACCTCCCACAAATTGTTTTCTGACCTCCATATACACATGCATACATTACATCCCCCCCCACACACAAATGAATAAACAAGTAAGTAAAGAAATAGGAGGCATGCCTTTAATCCTAGCACTTGGGAGGCAGAGGCAGGCAGATCTCTGTGAGTTTGAGGCCAGCCTGATCTACAGGGAAACCCTGTCTCAAAAAGACCCCCCCCCCGAAAGAGAGAGAGAGAGAGAGAGAGAGAGAGAGGGCGAGAGCGGGGAGGGGAGAGAGAGAGAGAGAGAGAGAGAGGAAATAGGACTTGAAAACTTAAAGAGAAAGAATCATACAAACCACCTTCATCTTGGAACTATGGAGGGGCCCCACCCTAGTGAGCCACCTGATCAGCATACTCAGATGTAATTCTAAGGGATTCATTATGAATAACAAAAAACCCCACACCTATTAGGAAATTGCAAGGATTTTTAGGTGCTTTGTGCTGGGAAGTAGGAACAATTGCAGTATTTCTTTTTTGAGGCAAAGTCTCAAGAAAGCAGGCCACAAACTTGCTGTGTGGCCCAGGACGTCCTGACCTCACTTCCATCTAAGCTACCAAACCTGACTATTATTTTTGAGACAGGATGCAGCTATATAACCCAAGCTGGTCTAGAATTCACTATATAGCCCAGGCTGACCTCGTACTCATGACAGTCATTCCTTAGCCTCCCAAGTGATGGAATCATAGCTTTACAGTGCAATCAGTTGTCGAGTGTTCAGCTGTAACATTAAGTTTAGTGAGTCTGGCCCAAATTCTGGGATTACGGGTGCTAACCATTATGCTCAGCCCCAGATATGCTTTTTATTATGTCATGAGGCTGGGCCGGAGCAGACAGAAGTACCTGAGGGTCATAAAAGTTTTGTGAAAGCCCTATTAGTTGAGTTGAATAGTCCTCACAGGAGGCCAGGGGCAACATTTCAGCAGTTTGGAAAAAAAGTAATTGTTGTGAACATGCAGAAAAATGGGCTGGCTTTGGATCTTTTAGAGGCAAGAGTCAGCTAAACTAGCCAGATGTGGTATTCCATGCCTTTAATCTCAGCATTTAGGAGGCAGAGGCAGGCAGATCTCTGTGAATTCAAGGGTAGCCTAGGCCCTACCTAAAAAAAAAAAAAAAAGCAGCTGGACTCACTGAAGGGCTGAATGTTGGAAAGAAATGAAAAAGAAGAATCAAGGGTGCTTTCCAGACTTGTTTTGAAAGCTGAATGGATCATGAGTAATAGCGGGAATATTAGGAAAGGAGCAAGATGGCAGGGGAGTCTCCTTGACACAATGTGTTTAAGATGACAAGAAGATATGAACTAGGGCTATTAAGTAGTTAACTGCATTGTGAATCAACTTATTTTTGAGACAGGAGTCAGAGGCTCATGTAGCCTAGGTTAGACTCCAATTCAAACTCTTGGTCCTTTACCTCTCTAGTGCTGGGATTACAGACATGCAACATCATACCCAGTTTTATGCAATGTTGGGGGTCAAACCCAGGGCATCATATATGCTAGGCAAGCACTCTACAAACAGCTACATCTCTAGGCCTGCCTGCATCTGCATTTGGTGAAGAGGTCTAAATTGCAGAGACTTTTGGAAGTCATGTCATAGGCCAAGAGTCTCAAGGTTGAATGATGTCATAAGGTGATTGTATAATGAGCCAGGACTGAGTCCTAGCTTCTCCAGTATTTAACAATTAAGCCAAAGCTAGGTGTAGTAGCACACACCTTTAATTCCAGCACTCAAGAAGCCCAGGTGGATTTCTGTGAGTTCGAGGCTAGTGTGGTCTACATAGCAAGATTCAGACTGGCTAGGGCTGCATAGTTAGATGTTGTCTTAAAGAACCACCCCCCCAAAAAAAGTACCAAAAAATCAGCAAAGGATAATGAAAAGGAGGCCCAGGGAGGGTACAGGAATGTCAGGACAGTGATGTGGAGGAAAGTTCAGGAGAAAAATATTTCCAGAGAAAGGAAGCATGTTAACTGTTAGCAGTTCCCTGAGGTCAATTTAGATAAGAGCTGAGGACTGAGTATGGAGATAATTCCATCCTGATAAGTGATCCTGGTAATGGAATCAAAACTGCATCAGGGTAGGTTGAGAGGCCAATGCCAAGAGAGGAAATGGGGACAGGGACAGTAGAAAGATGAAGAATCTTTTATAGCAAAACTATTCAGTTAAGAAAGCAGCGGGGCGTGACGGCACGCATGCCTTTAATCCCAGCACTCAGGAGGCAGTGGCAGGAGGATCTCTGTGAGTTCAAGGCCAGCCTGGTCTACATAGTGAGTTCCAGGACAGCTGGGGCTACAGGGAGACCCTGTCTCAAAAAGACCAAAATAAATAAATAAATAAATAAATAAATAAATAAAGCAGATAAATGCTGGGTGTGGTGGCACAAGCCTCTAATCCCAGCACTCAGGAGGCAGAGGAAGGCAGATCTCTGAGAGTTCAAGGCCAGTCTGGTCTACATAGGGAGTTTCAAGGGCTACAGGGAGACCCTGTCTCAAAAAGACTGAAGAAAAAGAGAGAAGGAAGGAAGGAAGGAAGGAAGGAAGGAAGGAAGGAGAGAAAGAGAGAGGAAGGAAGGAAGGAAGGAAGAAAGAAAGAAAGGAAGGGCTGGCCATGGTGGTGCACACCTTTGACGCCAGCCTGGTCTACTTAGTGAGTTCCAGGCCAGCTTGGGCTACAGGGAGACCCTATCTCAAACAAAACAGAACAAGAAAACAAGACAAAAAAGAAAGAGAAACAGTATTCACTAAAGGTAATTTTGGAACTGAGGGAAGTTTAAATTTAAATCAGCAGAATTTCAGTATGTTTATATGCTGATAAGGAAGATTCACCAGAGAAGAGAGAAAATACTATAATGATGCTGGAGGATGAGGTAATTGTAGGAGTAAAAACTTCAGCAATGAGGGTGTGAAAAGAATCCAGGTCACCAGCCAGCACCTGACCTTTTTTTGTTTTGTTTTTTGTTTTTGAGAGGGTCTCTCTGTAGCCCTAGCTAGCCTGGAATTCACTTTGTAGACCAGGCTAGCCTCAATCTCACAGAGATCTGCCTGCCTCTTCCTCCACCTCCTGAGTACTAGGATTAAAGGCATGCACCACCACACCAAGCCACCTGACCTTCTTGAATTTAGAGACACTTCTTAGTAACCCAAGCATTACCATACAGGTTGGAGTAGCTTGAGGACAGCTGGAGAGAGCGTTCAGTGGCTAAGAGCACATTCTGCTCTCTTTGCAGAGGCCCTGCATTCAGTTCCCAGCACCCACAATGGGTGGCTCACAACCACCTGTAACTCCAGCTCCAGGATCCAAGGCCTCTGGCTTCATTCACATGTGTGGTATGTCCACACACAGACACATAATTGAAAATAATAAGATAAAGCTAAAATAATGAGGTTGATGGTGAAACGATGGAGTTCTTTCTAGTATCTCATGTCCCACCCTCAAAGCAAAGTTGATCAGTTAAAAAGGTTGGGGTTTTATAGAGATATAGGAAGTATGAAATAACCTTTTTAAAATTCTAAATATAAATATAGTATAGAAAATACTTCTAGGATCAAGAATACCTCCCCCTGAAACTTTTTTTCTCCCTCAGTGAGCCATTTGATCTCTCTACTTAACGCCATTGGTAAGTGTATCTTTATTAGTTCACAGATCTGTTCCCCCTGAGGGACAAGAGGGAGGGGACTTTGCCTAATCTGCGAATGCAAAGGGTGAGCAGATAGCCACCAGATAGTCATAGTAACAAAGTTGATGAATGCATGTCAGCAGAATTTTGTTTTTGGCTAACTCCTGTTAAATGTCACCTGTTAAGGCAAGTCACTTTTCCTCTGAGCTTTTATTTCAGAATATATACCGTGGGAATGATAAGCCTCTTTGCCTACCTCACTGCCTTATGAGAGTCTGAGCCAATAAACCCAGAAATACTTCATCAAGTTCTCCTTGAATATAACTGGTCATTTTGAGCCCACGCGAACCCGTGCAGGGTGCAGGTGCTGAACGCATCTTGCAGATGCGCGTTACAGTCTCCGCGACTGTCAACAGAGGTTGTGTGGAGGCTTCCGCGGGTCGCGGAGGGGCGGAGCTCAGGCCAGCGTCCCCCTAGCTCCGGCCTCTTCCCAGGAGGCTCGAGACCCGGCCAGCGTGGGGGCGGGGAGGCCGCGGGGGTAGTGGGGAGTAACTGTCAAACCTCGCCACTTGGCGCCATTATTTAAATAGTACGTGCCGATCTCGCAGCTGTGCGTGCCCGGGGCGGGGCTGCGAGCGCCCAGAGCCGGGCGCAGGCCAGAGGCGGGGCGAGAAAGCGGAGGGGCGTGTCGGGGGCGTAGCCAAGGCGGCTAGCGGGGAGGGTCCAGCGCGTCCCCCGGCGAGGCTCACTGCGCTTGCGCTGAGAGACGCAAGATGGCGGACAGTGCGGAACTAAAGGTAAAGCGCAGCTCGAATTCACTTCTAATATTCGGCCGTGGAGAAGGCGCCGCCGGTGCCGGGGGGGATGGGTCGGACCCTGGGGGGGCCGCTCGGGCTCGGCGCCACCCGGGTCTGGAGTTGTAGGCAGGAGAGGTGCTCCGGGCCTCCGTGGAGGGGGGCCTGGCTGCGGCGGGCCGCGGGCCCCGGGTGCCTCGGGGGCGCTGACGGGTCGTCCCCGGCGTGTTATTGTTGTGGGCGCCTCTGGATGGGGTGGCGGGGGGAAGAGCGAGTGAGTCGGGACGTCGGGGCTGCAGCGGTCCCCGCGGCTTGGGTGCCTCACCTTGTAGCCCGCTTCGCCGCCCCCCCTCCACGGGGAGCCGGGGGCTGAGGGGGTAGAGTGCGCTGGGAAGGGGGGGAATTGGGAAAGCTTCCCCGCCACCGCTTCCTCTTCCTCCTTCGCGGTCCGGGACTCCTGTCAGGCGCTGCGCTCCGACCCCCGGGAACTTGGCTCCGGCCGCCCCGCCCCTCCGCGCCCCCGCCCCGCTCTCCGCGCTCCTCGGCTGCCCGCCTGTCAGTGGGCGCCGGGGGTGCCCTGGCCGATGGGAGAAGCGCGATCCCGGGGCAGTCGTCTGGGGGATGTGGGGAAGAAGCTCCCGGAAAGTTTAGCGAGCCCGGAGCCGGCGTTTGGGGTTCGGTTTAAGGGGTGGCAGGGGGTGTCTGCCTGGTCGGGACGGGACTTTCTGATTCCGGGCTACCGGGGTGGTTGGGGGAGAAACCCCCTGGAAGAGTGTTATTGGGACGCGGTGGTGGGTGTTGGGGATGTAAGCCACCTCTCCTCTCTTGCTGTGACTGGTGTGGTGGGTGAGAGGAACCTCGGGGGTCTCCGCACACCATGATGGCGATGCTATGGCTCATGGAGGTGAATGGTTCGTGTTTATATCCCCCCGTTGCCTTTTGTTTGTTAGGGACATCTCGCTGGCCATGTTGATTTGAACGAAATTCTGCCCCCACCCCCCATCCTACTCCAACCTCCAATAAATAGAACGTTCCTCCGTTCCTCTCAACTGTACCAATTACTCACGCCTCGCGAAATTAGATGAAAGGGTGCCCCCTTCCCCCCCGCTTTTTCTCCCACCCCAATCTTTACCTGATGATGGCTTCTTTACCGAAGCAGATATACCACCACACAAGCAGTTGGGGGAGGGGGTGGAGCCCTTATGATTGGATTGTGACAAATGGGGCTCCGCTTGAATAATTTTGGTTTAGTAGCAGGCAGTTCTTAACTAACGCATATTATTTCGAGGCTCTGAACACGATATTCCCTTCTCTCAGGCTTCCTGTGTGCGAACCAAACAGCTGGTTATATCCCAACAGAGAACTGACATCTGTGTGTGTCAGAGTGGAGATTGGGATATACAATTGGAAATCTTCGGGGAGAGTTTATAACCAATACAAATTATTTTAAATTTTTTTCTCTGTTACAGTAAAACAACTTCTGGAATAAGCAAACCAATAGATTTGTTTCTGGGCAGATTTTCTGCAGAAAAACCCGGCTGAAAGATCTTTTTCCCCTAGTAACTTTGCAGTGTTAACATTCCAAATTTTTGCATTAAAGTTTCAGTATAAGTTTTGAGTACAAGGATCTGGGCGTTTGTCATTTTAGATTTACTTATTCCTAATTTAATACAAAGAATATTTTGAATGGATAGCTTTTTTTTTTTAATCCCATTTTCAAACTTGACTGAAATGAGAAAGCCTCAGGAATTTGAATGTTTGGAGATAATCAGCTCTTGGAATTAACAAAATACACAGCTTATACTTAAGTGTTCTGTATAGTTTCTCCCCTAAAATAGTCACTGTGTTGCTCTCATCATTGCCTTCTAATATTTATTTTGTTAGGAGTCCATTTGAATAATAGATAATCAGTTCTTTTATGTGTGGATCATAGAGTAAGGCAGAAAAGCTGGTGGGGGCTATATTGTCACTCTTGATGCTGTCCAAAGAAACTAGTATGGAAGGCACATGCTGAGAGATTTCCTTCTTTGTTCTTTCTCATTTTAAAGAAAGTGCCTTTGGGGATAGGCGAGATCCCTGGTGTGAGTCTTGTTAGGTAAAGTTTCTCTTTACAAAAATGAGCCTGTATCATCCAAACAGTGAACACTTAGGGGAAATGTTATTTTTCTAAAATTGGCCTCCCTTTTTGCCCTCTCCAAAAATCTACTTGAGTTTTTTCCAGAGGAGTTGTTTTCCACTTTTATGTTTCTGTTGTATAATTTTTCAAATTATAATAACTGTTTTGACATGTTGGTGTGTCATTGTGTGTGTCTGAGGCTTTGAGGAGCAGTGATAAATTACTTGGCTGGTGATAGCTGTGTTAAAATTTTTGCTAATACTTAATTGTGGTTACATTTACTGTTCTTTTTGGGGGAGTCGGGGGGTGATCTCAGAAACACCTAACATAGTTATTTAAGAATGTGTGTGTAATTTTTTGTGCTGTTTGGAAGGTTCTCCTTCTGGAAACATTTTCTCAGGCTTTTACAAATTTGTGTGTGTGTGTGTGTGTGTATGAGAGAGAGAGAGAGAGAGAGAGAGAGAGAGAGAGAGAGAGATTGATTCGGAGGTCATTAGCATATATCCTAATAAAGTAGGAAAAAATTTCAGTACTACTTAGAGGAAAACTTATATTAAAAATTTTTAATGGAAATTCAGTGCTTCTAACTAGGGGGCACTGAGTAAATACTTTTTCCTTCTTCCAGTTCACAGCCCACACTCAGTTTGCTGTGGATTGTAGTCATAATTATTTCCCTAATGGTCCTTTTAGGGAATCCTTTTAAATCTATAGCAGTTCTGCTAAGATCAGATGGAAAATCAGAACAGCATCCTCTGTAGGAAGAGCAGAAGCTGTAGCACTTCAAAGTACTGCCACAAAGAATTAGATTGAAAGTTCCACCCATCAGAGTGTGTTCTCTGTGCACATGTGTTTATAAAGTTTAATTTTTCATTACGGGAATACCCACAAATGACCTCTGTGAGAAAGTGAAGGGTAAATATTTTATTATCTTTAGGCACTTAAAAGCAGGAGGGTGTGCTGACCAGGTGATCTTGGTAGTTAATAATCTGATAGCTTCATTGATGTCCCTCCTAAAGTACTTTTTTCAGCTGGTCTCCAGAGTCTGAGCCTAGTTTGGAGGCTGAGCCGGGGAATGTGTTCCAGGCTAGCCTGAGCTACATAGCAAGCAAGACTATCTCAGAATTAAACCAGGTGAAAACAAAACAACCCGAACAACAACTACAAAACACCCTCAACCTAGGGGGACAAAAAAAACCTTAGTCAAAAAATGCTGCCAACAAAAAAAGCGTACTTTTTACTTTTCTTGAGACCAGGACTCACTTTGTAATCCCAGATGGCTTGAAACTCACAGCTCTCCTGTCTCAGCCTCTGGAGTGCTAGATAGGTTCTCAGCCATGAGTCACCACTCGGCTTCCAAAGTACTTTTTCTTTTTAACAAATGTTTTTTACATTAAAACGGAAAGTAAGTTATATTGCTGTTTTAACTCACAGGAGGAACAGAAGGAGGGAAGTCTATCATTTTCCTGGAGTAAATAATGGGATTCAATGGGAAGAGAAACCCAGTGCTTTTAACTATATCTACTATGTAAGCTCATCAGTAAATTCTGTTGTCATGTCTGCCTCTTTATTTTCAACAAATAACTGCTTAGTTTTGATCTTTGTGCTGTAATTTGTCTGCTTTTATTTCAGATGGAGGCAAGTAAATCTGACAATTTATTCATGGATTTGATTTTAATCTCCATAACTTGCTTTTGTGAAGTGCCGCATTTAGATGGCTTTTGTTTTATGTCACTTCTTGGGAACAGTATTTTAAAACAATTTGTAAAACACTTTAGTTTTTAAGTATTTCATGTAATTGTTCTGAAATAGCCCCTTCTTTTCCTCCGAGGTTTTCTCTGAGGTGCCTGTATTGTCTTCCTCTTCAAAGAGCGTCTTGTAATCCCCTTTGATTGCAGTAGTGCTTAGCAGTGAGTCCATAGCTGATTAACCTTAGGTTTCTCCTGTGAACTCCATCAGCATGCTGCTCCAGGGCCCTTGCTGAGGCTTTTCAGTTCAGTGTAATTTGTACCCTTTCTGCTGGTAACTAGGAATAAAAAAATAAAATAGTTCATTCTTATAGTGGTATTTAGGAAGAAGTACCCACATCTCAGAAAAGTAGGATTTTATAAAATGTAACCTTTAAAAACAAAATAGAAATTTGGTTCATTGCTTCATAAAATTGATTATACTGTTTTCTGAAGTATTCAGCTCTGACACTTTTTTTTTTTTTTTTTTTTTTTTTGGTTTTTTGCAATGGGGTGATGGTGGTTTCATTTTTAGCCCAGGTTAGGTCTGATCTCACTATGTAGCTGAGGATGACCTTGAACTCCTGATTTTGTTTCTATCTCCCCATTGTTCGATTTAACTTTTAATTAGTTTTATTAATGTGTATGAATTGTGCCAGCTTGTATGTAAGTGCACCTGTGTTGTGTGGTGGCCGAGGAGGACAGAAGAGGGAGTTGAATCCCCTGGATCTGGAGTTACAGATGGTTTTTAGCGATCATGTGGGTGCTGGGATTAGAACCCAGGTCTTCTGCAAGAGCAGCCAGTGCTCTTAACCACTGGCCATCTCTCCAGCCTCCTTTCTATTTTGGGGGGAAGAGTCTTTGAGACAGGGTCTCCCTGTAGCCATAGCTGGTCTGGAACTCTCTAGTTAGACCAGGCTTACTTTGATCTCACAGATTGCTTGCCTCTGCCTCCCAAGTTCTGGGATTAAAGGCAGGTGTCACCATACTGCCCTTTAAATTTTAATATTTTTTATTTATTATTATTTTTATTTTATGTGTATGAGTGCATTGCCTGAATGTATGTAAGTGCACTCGTGTTGGGCAGTGCCCATGTAGGTCAGAAGGTGTTGGATCTCCTGGAACTGGAGTTACAGATAGTTGTTAGCTGTCGAGTGGGTGCT